AGGGAGCTTTACTCTGTACCTAACACTGTGCTGTCCCTGTCCTGGGAGTGTTTGATGGGGATAGTGCAGAGGGAGCTTCACTCTGTATCTAACCTTGTGGTGTACCTGTTCTGTCCTGGGAGTAATGACATCTAAAACACAAAATACTCTGTACCATTTTGCTGAGCTAAGAACTTGAGAGAAAATGAAGTACCAGAAGTAAGAACAAGCCACAGTGTCATTAGCAAGCTCTGCTACTTCAAAGCCAGAAGATGTAATGGCTGAGGGGGAATCTACATAGCTCTTTTCTTCCATGCATCTGTTTTCATTTTTACTAAATGTCCCATTGGGAGGTGTTCGGTTCTGGAGCTGAATTGGGATAGAGTGCAAGGTAGGACTAAACAGTTCCTCTTCTCCTTTAATGGATGTTTCCCAGTGGGACTTGTTTCACTGAGTTTGATCTTCATATCGTTCCAGCCCAGACACCGATTGAGGAGTTCACCCCGACACCAGCCTTTCCTGCTCTTCAGTATCTGGAGTCAGTGGATGAAGGAGGAGTGGCATGGCGGGCAGGTCTACGCATGGGCGACTTCCTGATCGAGGTTAGTGCCTGCTTTCTGTGCCCCTGCTTCTGGTTCTTTCTTTATTGACTGTGTCGGAATTGGGTGGCCATTGTAATGATGCTTTGGACCGTTGCTGGAGAGGAAGTTGTGTCGCATCTTGCCCTCATCAGGACATTCATACAAGAATGCCCAAATTTCCAAGCAATCACAGCAATTTATACTACAGGAGGACAGAGTGATGATAGATTGAAAACTCAAATCTGATTGGCCAGAAGGTTGCCACAGGGGAAACTGTAGGCTTTCGAGCTCGTGGGGTAATTGCACAAAGACATGATGCTTGAACATAATCGTATTGTTTGGAGAGAATGGTTTCCTGCATGTGGATGTTTGTAGCTTCTAGTTAGTGTAAGTGAGTGACATGACATGCTCGATTTGCTGTCTTAAGTTGGTTAATGGTATAAGAATGACACTGCCTGGCATGTGACCTTTACAGTTCTAGAGTTTGGTTTTTGGATTAAATTTGGACCTTTGCTTTCTATGAGAGAATCATTTTTATTCAAAAGTGACGTCTGGGAAAATAAAGATGCTACCCTCAAACCCAGTCGTTACAGAGTGAGGCACGTTGTCTGCAGCAATAATCTGGATGCGTTGATGGCTGTATCCCTGGTTGTGGAAAGCGTCCAAATCCCATTGGAGAGGTTTGAGAGATGTGGAAATGGATAAGAAAATAACTGGAACCAGGAAAAGTGGCCAAAAAGCAATTCTCAAGCTCCACAGTGGCTCAGTGGTTAGCACTGCTGTCTCACAGCGCCAGGGACCCGGGTTCGATTCCACCCTCGGGTGACTGTCTGTGTGGAGTTTGCACATTCTCCCCGTGCCCGTGTGGGTTTCCTCTGGGTGCTCTGGTTTCCTCCCACAGCCCAAAGATGTGCAGGTTAGGTGGATTGGCCATGCTAAATTGCCCGTAGTGTTCAGGGATGTGTAGATTCGGTGGGTTAGACATGGAAATCGGGGTAGGATAAATGGGTCTGGGTGGGATGCTCTTCAGAGGGGCAGTGTGGACTTGTTGGGCCAAAGGGCCTGTTTCCACACCGTAGGGATTCTATGATTCTTGCTAAGAAGCAATAGTGGCGTCACAGTGATGTTAATCCAGAGGCCCAGGCAATTAATCTGGAGATGTGGGTTCAGATTTCACCGTGGAAACCAGGAGAATTTAAATTCAATTAATAAGAATTAAAAGCTACTTTTAGTAATGGTGACCATGACAACGCTCAACAGCTGTTGCAAAAGCCCATCTGGTTTATCAATGCCCCCTTGGGGAAAAAGTTTGGTCATCCTTATGACTGCAGACCCACAGTGGTGTGGTTGAATCTTGACTTTGAAATGACCGAGCAAACCATTTACCCCAAGAGTATTTCGGGGTAGATGACAGACTAACGCCTCATGAAGGAATTTTGAAAAAGCCCGACCACTTCAGTACTACTTTGTATTGACTGCAATCCCACGTCAATATGCTTGACTCAATGACCTTCGTAATGAGCTGCTCACACCACTATAGAAAGCACAGTCAGCTTGTACATCTCACAATGGGCAGAGTGCCAGCTTTGCCCACAACACTCAGAGCTCGAGAATGAATGAAACACAGTCGTGGTTTGATGTAATTCAAAACTGGAGCCTTCAATGTCAGACTATCTTTCCTTCAGTGAGGGGCCCAAAACTAGTCACCTTATTCCAGCTGTGGTCTTGTATAGTTTCAACAAATCCTCCCTGCTTTTATACCCAGTTCCCTTCGAAATAAAAGCAGCGGACGGAATTTAATTTTAATTTGCAAATTTGAAATAAAATACTAGCCTCAATAATAATTACCATGAAACCACTGAATCTTTGTTAAAACCCCATCTGTCCTCTTTCAGTGAATAAATCATTTCACCCTTAGCCAGTCTCCAGAACCACAACAGCTCTTCAATGTCTTACTTCTTCCGTCTCTTACTTCTTCCATGTCCCATCAAGCCACTCCGTTGTAGATAGCTCACTGCTCAAGTGGGGTTGCTTGTCACACCTCAGGAGTGGTGAGGGGGTCAAAACAGCGTCGAGAGGGTGTTAGAGGTTATAGAGAGTCATAGAGACACAGAATCATACAGCACGGAAACAGACCCTACAGTCCAACCAGTCCACGCTGATCGTAATCCCAAACAAAACTACTCCCACCTGCCCGGACTTGGCCCATACCCTCCAAACATTTTTGATTCAGGTACTTATCCAAATGTCTTTTAAACATTGCTGCCCTTGCCCTTTCGGACAGTAGAGTTTGTGAAGGTGCTGTCTAAGGATCCTTGGTGAGTTGCTGTGGTGCATCTTGAAGATGGTACACATGATGTCAGAAGACACTTCCATTCCCAGACCACCAGCCAGCACCTTCACAAACTCTACTGTCCGAACAGGCAAGGGTAGCAGCAGTTAAAACTACCTGGATAAGTACCTGAATCAAAAATGCTTAGAGGGATATGGGCCAAGCGCGGGCAGGTGGGACTAGTTTTGTTTGAGATTATGGTCAACATGGACTGGTTGGACCATCGGGTGTGTTTCCGTGCTGTATGATTCTGTGTCTCTATGACTTCCTATAACCTCTGACACCCTCCCGACCCTGTTTTGACCCCTTCAGCACTCCTGAGGTGTGACAAGCAACCCCACTCTCCACCCATGCATCCAAGAAGTGACCCTCTTCCCCCGCCACTAGACCAGCACCAACCCCAAACCGCATCGCCAGGAACTGACCTCTCTGCCCCATTGCTCAGCCCAACATGTACCCCTGTCATACCATCAGACCCCATTCCCCCTTTCCCTGTCTGTGGACCCAATCCCCTTTCTCTTGGAAGGGCCAACTCCCCCCTTTTCCCCAGAAGACTAATTGTCCCTTCTCCCACCGTTAGATGAGTACCAGCCCATCTCTTGCTACTGTACCCAGTCCCCCTTCCCCCATCATTGGACTTAACCAAACCCCAAGCTCGATAGGTGACCCCTGACCCCAGGACCTGACAGCGCCTATCCCTCACCCCACTCGACCTAATGCCTCCCACCCACCCCGAGCTACCCTAAGCTCTCCATCATCTAGGAGAAGTGATGGCCTAGTGGTATTATCACTAGAATGTTAATCCAGAGACCCAGCTCATGTTCTGGGGACTTGGGTTTGAATCCTGCCACAGCAGGTGATGGAATTTGAATTTGGTGAAAAATCTGGAACTAAGAGTCTAATAATGACCATGAATCCATTGTCGAAAGTTGGGGGAGGGGGACAAAACCCATCCAGTTCCCTAATGTCCTTGAGGGAAGGAAACTGCTATCCTTGCCTGATCTGGTCTACATGTGACTCCAGACCCACAGCAATGTGGTTGACTCTTAATTGTCGTCTGGGCAGTTGGGGATGGGCGATAAATGCTGCCTAGGCGGTGATGCCCTCATCCTGCACCACCGTGCTACCTGGTATCCTACCACCTTTTGGTTCCCTACCCATACCCACTTGGCACCCTAACCTCACACTTACCTCATGTACTTAGCGTTTCACAGCAGCTGTCAGTGATGCTGCATTTTTAAGAGAAGATGAGTAAAAGGGGCTGTAAGTTTCTTTGCCCCAGAGAGAGACCTGTCAGCGTGGAAGTATCTCCTGTCAGAATTGCAGAGCTGTTTCACTGTGGAATGAACCCTGAGTATGATGATCATTCCTCTGAAGTTCCAGCCTGTGACATAGAATGGTATTCTGCGCGCTGTACAGTGGATAAGCTTTCACACCTCTGGATCAGAAACTGGGAGAGAAAGTCTATTTGCACGTAACTGAATGCATATGGTCTTCCGAAGCTGCAGTGCAGCTCCTGAGGGAGAGCTGCATTGTCAGAGGCGCTATCTTTCCAATGAGACATGAAAACTAGGACCCCATCCATCTTCAGGAAGGATGATGAAGATTCCAATGGCCATGAAAGAGGGGCACAGTAATTCTAACCAGTATTCTGGTCAATATTTCACCCTGAACTGCTTCCATTTCCTTTGAAGAATGAAAGGTTATTTTCACTGGTGGAGAGTCAGTGACATGGATTCATACATGGACAGGTGCTTCGAAATAATATGTTCACCCAAAGTTGATAGTTGCTACAAAGGGCTGGAGAAAATGGGCCAATATTGATATGTAACAGGGGGGAAAGGCCTCTGATTCAGTCTTTATATCCATAATTTCTTCCATTAACATCTGTCCAGAACCAAAGGAGCAAGAGACCCCTCAAACCTGCTCTGCCTTTCTGTTTGCCCGAAACCATATCTTGAAGTCAGAAGTCACACAACACCAGGTTACAGTCCAACAGGTTTATTTGAGATCACAAGCTTTTGGAGCGCTGCCCCTTCATCAGGTGAAGTGACTATCAGACTATAACCTGGTGTCATGTGATTCTGACTTTGTCCACCCCAGTCCAACACCGGCACCTCCACATCATATCCCTTGAAGTGTTTAATGTCTGGAGATCTCAGATCTTTGCTTTCAATATACTCAATGTCTGAGCTTCTCCAGCTCCTTGGGGTCCCTGTGAGTGAAAGTATTCTTCCTCATCTCAGTCATAAATGACTTACCTTTGATTCGTGGCCTGTGCCCCAGTTCTAGATCCCCTCCTTTCCCAACTAAGGGAAACCTCCTTCCTGTATCTATCCTGTTGAGCCCTACAATATTTTTTCTGCTTCATAGAGATAAGAGCATAAGAACTAGGAGCTGGAGTAGGCCAGCTGGCCCTTCGAGCCGGCTCCGCCATTCAATAAGATCATTGCTGATCTTTTTGTGGACTCAGCTCTACTTACCTACCCTCTCAACATTACCCTTAATTCCTTTACTGTTCAAAAATCCATCTATCTTTGCCTTAAAAACATTCAACGAGGTAGCCTCAACTGCTTCACCTGGGCAAGGAGTTCCACAGATACACAATCCTTAGGGTGAAGAAGATCACCTCTCATTCTCCTCAACGTATCTCATTCTCCTCAATCTCTCTACATTCCAACAGTCACAT